TAAGACTTGTGGACTTCAACTCCCAGAATTCCTCAGCCAGCTGGCTGAGGAATTCTGGGAGTTGAAGTCCACAAGTCTTAACGTTGCCAAGGTTGGAGATCCCTAGCATAGAGTATGTCTCAGGATTGGCAACACAAAAATGGGTGGACTCCAACTCCCCCTGGCTGGGGAATTGTGAGTCCACCCATCTCCAAGTTGGCAACCCTTGAGAAACGCTCATGTCATCCAACCTTCTCCACGGCGTAATGAAATCGGTGAAGCCATCCCAAGAAGGGGCTGTCCACCCTCTTCCTCAAAGCGTCCAGAAATATCACAAAGCTCTGTAGACACTATTCCATTGTTTACAGAACTGGAGGGACCTTCTTTGAGGAAAGTTGGCCAACATCTCACATTGCAAAACAGGACTTGCCCTGTTTGTATCTTGGCCGGACCATTCATTGATCTGATTTACCCCCAGGTTGTCTTCTCACTTGGACTTCAGGTGAGGTGGTTGGGACTCCCCAGTCGTCTCCAAGTCATCCACGGTCCACCCATCTCGGCCTTCAGGAAGGCTGATCTCAGACTAGACATCTTCTCCCCACCGAGACCCTACAGATGGTTGATTTTCCACTTTGTATCACCCCCCCTTTCCCAGGAATCCAACCTACTGGCCCATCTCTGGTGGCTTCCATACCGACGTCTCTTTGCAAGACCACAAACTAGCACGAGGGCCGAGGCGATCCCCGGTCCCCAGCCATGGATTTAAAGAAGGAAGGCATTCTTCACCTGAAATGAGGAAGATGACACCTCCAAGAATGGCCATCCTTGACTTCTTGACCTCATCGTCTTCCAAGCACTTCATGCACTTCATGCCAATCATGGCGACGAAAGATCCAATGAGACCCAAAAGGATGCTGGACACCATCAAGGCCCGGGTTGCTTGCAGGCTGCCTGAAAGAGAGAGAGGAAGAACGTGGTTTTACATCCACGTGGACCGAAGGACCAACAACGTGACCAGGTGGAAAGCCGTTTTTGATATCCCAGCCTGATAAGTCCTTCCCTTCCGCACCATCCAGCCAGAACTGAAGAAGCTTCCTGGAGGAGAGGAGAAATGTCTTCAAAAGAAAAAAAACCAGAAAGTCCAGCGGCCTCCTAAAAAAACACCCACTTTTGGGACCAGCAGGTCCTGGATGACGGAGAATCTCTACAGGTTTCAGGCTGAAAGAAACTTATTTTACCATGTTCTACTAGCGTATCTTTAGATAGGACCATGCCTGCCTTTTTTTTAACCATTAAATTCAATCCCCTTCCGGAAAGGATTCCTGGGATGATGGCCATATCTCGGATGGGATAATCTACAGGTTCCTTTCCATGCATTGTGGTAACCATATTAGGCCACCCAAGAGTTTATTTCTTCACGTCATTCCTCGGTGCTCTCTGAGCTTGGTTGTTTTCTTGTAGACATTTCATTACCAAACTAGGTGATATCATCATGCAAGTAGGGAGTGGGGTTATAATGTCTATAAACAGAGAGCAAACTCCACACCCTTCTAGCACTGATGATGTTTCCTAAATTGGTAATCAAATATCTGCAAGGAAACAAAAATACCAAGGACCTCACAGTCATTGCCTCCTCTTCTTCCTCCTCCTCCTCCTCCTCCTCCTCCCTTCTATCTCCTATATCCTTCTTCCACTTCACTAACCCTCTCTCTTCTAGTCCTGATGATGTTACCTAGCTGGGTAATGAAACATCTACAACAGGGGTCTCCAAACTTGGCCACTTTAAGACTTGTGGACTCCAACTCCCAGGATGGCTTGGGAGCGTGGCTGGCTGAGGAATTCTGGGAGTTGAAGTCCACAAGTCTTAAAGCGGCCAAGTTTGGAGACCCCTTGACCTACAAGAAAGCAACCAAGCTCAGGGAGCACCAAGGACCTCAAAATACGCTGCATTTTTCGGGATTATCCCTTGGGTGAGATCAATTGATCTCACATGGGCTTGGCGGCTGTGTCTCCTCTTGTTCCACCTTGAAAGGGCCATGCGAGATGAGTCCCCAAGGTGACATTTCATGTGCTCAGGGAGACAGGCCCTCAACTCTGGGCAGGAGAGACAATCATGGGTGGACAGCCAATCGAGCCCTGGAAGAGGTTTAGGACTCCCTGATGGTTGCTGAGAGTCTAAATTCAACGGTTCCTTTAGCAAAACCTGCTCAGCTGAGAAAGCTTATTAGCGAGAATGTGGGTGTTTTTGTCCTTATAACTTTGGTGCGTGTTAAGCAAGCATGGAGACGGGTTCACGGAGTTGGAAGGGACCTTGGAGGTCTTCTAGTCTAGCCCCCTGCTCAAGGAGGAGAACCTATACTATTCCAGACAAATGTCTGTCTTAAAAACCTCCAGTGTCTTAAAAACCTCCAGCAGCCACAGCAGTTCTACTGATTAATTGTTCTCACTATTAGGAAATTCCTCCTTAATTCCAGGTTGCTTCTCTCTTTGGTTAGTTTCCATCCGTTGCTTCTTCTCCTACCTTCTTTGGGGCTTTGGAGAAGAGCTTGACCCCCCCTCCTCTTCTTTGGGGCAGACCCTCAAATATTGGAAGGCTGCTATCATGTCACCCCGAGTCCTTCTTTTCTCTAGACTAGACAAACCCAATTCCTGCACCCGTTCTTCATACGTTTTATCCTCCGGTCCCCTTAATGAACGAATAACAGATAACAGGTAACGGATAATCAGAGTTGGAAGGGACCTTGTAGGTCATCTAGTCCAACCCCCCCATCCAAGCGGGAGACCCTACACCATTTCTGACAAATGGCTGTCCAGTCTCTTCTTGAAAGTCTCAAGTGATGATGCTCCCGAATGAATGAATGAATAAATGAATGAATGAATGAATTCTTTATTGGCCAAGTATGATTAGACACACAAGGAATTGGTCTTGGTGCCTACGCTCTCAGTGTACATTAAAAGAAAAGATAAGATTAATCCTCCTTCTTGTTTTTCTCTGCACTCTTTCAAGAATCTCAATATCTTCTTTTTTTTTAATATCGCGGTGACCAAAACTGGATGGAATATTCCAAGTGTGGCCTTACCAAGGCCTTGTAAACTGGCATTAACACTTCGCGTGATCTTTATTCTTTCCCTCTGTTAATGCAGGCTAGGACTGCGTTGGCTTTGGGGGCAGCTGCCCCCCCAAAAGCCAACGGTGCTTGACCAAGGTGCTTTAATGCAAAAGACCCCGGGGGGGTTTGTGCTTGGCATTGTGGTGCAGTGATACCATCCTGAGGAATTTTGAGAGAAGTTATATAAGACTTCACACTCATCCGCCCTGTTATCGCTTCCACAGCCAGCAATGGGCCCCAATCTTCAGAATCGACCACAATGCGTTGCAGATTTCCGTACAGGCAGTCCTTGCTTTACAATAGCTCATTTAGTGACCATTCAGAGTTACAGGCACTGGAAAAAGTGACTTAGGACCGTTTTTCCCCCCACTTAACAACCATTGCGGCATCCCCGTGGTCGCGGGATCCAAATCCAGACAGTTGGCAACTGGGTTGCGGTTATAACGGTTGTGAGTCCCTGTCAGGATTCCAGCAATTGCTCTAATTAAATCATGATCCTCGAGCCCAACTTCAAAAGATTTATTAGGAGCAACAAAAGCCAGCATTACCCTAAATAAAACCAACTCTGGCCTACGTAATTCACAGTCCCCTGTGACCCTGTTTCCCCCCACCCCTCCCTCCTGGGTGTGTCCTAAATCAGATTCTCCGATGAAGCACCTTCACGGGCCGGGTGTCATCAATCACGTTCTCCAATCCGGGCAGAAGATCCGGTAGCCTAGCTACAATCTTGGTAAGAGAAGCGTGGAATGTACTTCTGGTTTTAATCTGCCACACTGCTCCTTCCGATTCCCCCCTCCCTTGTGTGCGGCAACTCAAAAACAGGCAGAGGAATGCTTTACGAGTTGATGGTCCCAGGCTTACGCGATCCCCTTTTGCGACCTTCTGACAAGCAAGCCAGATATGCTTAAAGAACCACGTTACCAACTAAACGACCGAGCAAGAAAGTTCGTCAAACGGAGCCAAACCTCACTTGAACGAGGGACTGGCTTAGCAGTGGAAACTCTGAGCTCAGTTGCGGTCGTAAGTCAAGGACGGTCTGTATGTAGGCAAGCCAAGGGTTAACCCTCTCTTGTTTTCACCTGCACTAAACGAGATTTTAGAGCCTGAGATCTGGGCGAGTCCTCAGTCATCATTTTCTGTACCTTCTGCATATTTGGTAACGGATGTCTTAATCGCGCTCTTCCCAGAAGGCATTCAAACAACAAACCCAATTAAAAATGTTAATGAGAGGCACCTGAAGCTCAGAAGCAAAGCGAAGGAGCTCTGCACCCGCTGCTTGGCCCTTCTTCACTGTTGACGTCGTGTTTGTCTTTATTTTATAGGCAGGCTTCATCCGTTCCAGTTTTCCTGGTGGGAAACAGCAGGAAAGGACTTTTTCTGGCATCCTCTTGCAACTTCTCCGGTGGTCTCGCTTTCAAGTCTTAATGCAGCCCAACCCAGGAAGATCAGGGAGGTGCTGTTCACACCCCAAATTTCTCCTCTGGAGGAAAAAAAAGTCCACACCTAGTTTCAACCTCTCACATAGCTCTAACCCAGAGATGGGAACATCGTTCCCCATGTTGGCTCAGGAATTCTGGGACTTGAAGTCCACA